TTGCTCAAAATTGATATTTGGAAAACGTGAATTCGTAACACTCGACATCTGAGTATCTATATCTCATATTTACGAAGTCAGCGATAAAAGGCTTTTATGGAAATTTCTTTCAGATGAAACAGTTCGTGTTCAAACAAGGCAATTAGTTGGTAGCCAACCTTTCCAACAGCTTACGCTTGTTAAGGGCTGCCAGCTGCTTGCGTGTGAGTTTTTGTGTGGTGTCGTCAGGCTCTCGATCCAGTGTGAATAAAGCATCGTCGGCTCGTTCCCGTAAGACACCACCTGGAATCGGAGATAAATCAAACAAATCAAAATGCTCGAGTAGGAAGAAATCTAAGAGCAGAAAAGCGCAGTCATATGGCCTCCGTAGTGAGTCGCGCATACTTTGGACGGGACTCTTCTGAGATTCTGAATGCCATAAGACATACCTTCACTTTTATCAACATGTTCATCGTGCATAAACTGTTCAACATCTGCAAGTTGAGGTCCTTTACGCCAGTATTTCTTCTTATTTCTTGAAGTCCTCAACTTTTTCGAGATTACCTTCTCCATATCTGGAAACTGTGAGGGGATTTGAACTAAAAGCCTGCAATAGAGATATATTAATAAGCAATTGAATAAGTTTCTTGAATCAAACGTTAACGAATCCATCGACAGTGCCACAATAATATTTGAGACAATGCGAAACGTCGAGCCGAGATCGCTCGTTCAATTAATTCCCACGGAATCGGCTACGGAAAAAGAAACACCGGAATCAATGAACCGTGATTCCCTGTTCGTCCCTATCAAGAATATCCGGAAAAACAATGAATTTCCAGATGAAATCGCTAAAATTTCGTTAAATCGAAATCCAATTTCCACAGTTGATACAATGCCAATGTGCTATCACATTCTGCGTAAGAACGCCACTGTTCAAATAGCGTAAATCGGTCACCGTATAACATCTGCAAACAGAGATAGATCGATGCAATATGTTTTTGTGTGTGTCTCTCGATGTGCCCTCATTTCGCCTTCCACTATTGATCGCCCCGAGTACATCACCGTCTCCGTTTTGCCCGTCTTTTCATAACAAAACAACTCAATCGTCTCGACGGCTTAAGCCAGACAAACATCTCAAGTGTAGGATACCGTTTTGAGAAGATTTGCGATGGACGTCTCCTCGAAGTTTATTATTGTTTGTTGTTAAGTTTATTGTTTTCGTGATTGTTTACTAGATTTCTGGATGGAAGAGACTTTGCGATTGTCATTTAGAATTGTCTTCCTTCGTATTGTTTGATTCATACTGTACACAGCAATGTGGAATCAACGATGTGATAATGTAAGGTGTATGCTTGCTAACTGCTTTGAAGCCATCGTTACTTTCAAGGATTCTTCTATGGGATAACCTGAATCAAGCTAGCTAACTCCGGTAACATATAATTAAGTTTCGAAGAGAATTACCAATCTCGTAGAAATGCTTTAAACCACAATAGTGATGTGAATACTGTTTTGAAGATCTTATATTTGTTCATTGCATGCAATGAATCGTCATGAATTTATCCGTGTAAAACTATTCATTCAACAAATCCCTATGATTATGATCGAGATGAGAGAATGTACATTGAAATTTGCACAATGCTCATTGAATCGTCATCCTGTTTGGGTTCACGCTCTTCTTTATTTAGCATCAACGTTTGTCTGGTTGAGGCATACAAAGAAATTGAACTATTTTTTTGGCTCATTCATGATTCATATTGTACCATTCATTATTGAACAGTCATTTTCTGGAACATTGAGTTGTGTCATTTTCGTTTAGAAATGAATGCAAGTGAATTAGTGAATGCGGCAAGCAGTTTCAATTTTTATCATGTGAAATCATGTCAGTATTTTTTTTATCATTTCGTGTGTGAAATTTCCATTAGTGCACTAAACAAAAACAAGAAATATCAACTCGTTAATTCAGAATTACGACGTAAAAACTCGGAAAACTGTTCATTTGTTAAGGATTTCTATTTGCAGAAAATGTAGTGTGTACATTCATTGCATTCGTGAATGAATTTGCAAATATAGTCAAATCGAATTAATGCTTTTATGCGGCAGACTAGATTTATTTCCGCGATGCAGATCGTTCGTTCACCATTCAATCACATCGTCGTCACTTTCAAATGCCAGATTTGTGTTGTTAGCATTATTCCAATTCAGGAATTGCTGTAACATTTTGTGTCGCTAAACATGCAAATTAATCGCTTCATGTAATCGTCATACCTGTTTTTGTGCCATCAAATGACGTTTNGTAATATTACTGATCGTTTTCCACAGAAATAGTTGTTTGTTTGTTTTCTCGGAAACGTGCTCTTGGATATATGTAAAATAAATCAAAGCAGACACAACATTGTGTTTTGTACCGATGGAATTCATTTTTTCGTTTGACGATCATATAATTTCTTTATTTCGTCTGCATTTCCCATGTTTGTCCCAATTGCTCAGTGCGGCGATTCGATTCTTCGTTCGAGTGTACACATAATTGAAACGATCAGGAAATCAATTTGAAATTTTTCACCGAATATCTTGTTCAGAAGAATTTTTGTGTTTTAAACGAGTTAAGTGATCGTATTGTTAAAGCAGTGGTGCCGTGCCCATTATCATAATTACTATTGCAATTAGCATTGTTTTTAAAATTGCTGTGATTAATATTATAGCATCATTGAATGCTTTTCGTTAGGATCATTTTTCGGTCTTCCCCATTTTGAATTTTTTTGGTTGAAAGTTTCTTCGAATCATTTTGAGCAGCGCAATGGCAATTGAATTTTGAATGGTTGAT